CTGAATTAGAGTCTGTAAATATATTAATATTTGGTATAAGATCATGAAGATCAGGCCAATGCAAATCCGCTAAACTAAAAGTAAAAAATATAAGACCATCGGCACCAATCTGCTTAATCATATTTATAAGTTCACCACTCATTTTCTTCCAATATTGTCGTGTATCTCGCAAAGTATTTCCATAACGAATAATACGATCAACTATTTGATTATCAGCATTAAGTAATTCTCGAATATCTTCTATAGTAATATATTCATCCTCTAAGTTCTGTGTACATAAAGTTTACCAGCTTCTAATGCTCTCCATCTCAATATTGAATTCAGCGCAAAGTAACAGAACCGTTGATGCTGAGCAAACCTTCTATCATGATATTTTATTAAATGCTCAAAGTATTCAGCGGGATGCACGTGACGATGTTGTTGAATACTACGCAAATCCGCTTTTCCAGTAGGAAATAATGTCAGAAATGCTTTTATTATATAGCCAGTGTCCTTGAATTCATTAATAGGAATATCCTCAATAGAAGGCCAGTTAATATGTGCAGTATTATTCGAATTAATAAGATTATGTATTTCATTATAAGTAATAGACTCTTCAGTTTCTTTAGACATAAGATTCGGAACAAAAGTATCTGTAATATGGTTATCAAATATATCAATAATATTATTTATATCGTCGCTATTGTTTGAATTAAGTGTGTCTTTAGTTGATGAATTACTATCGTGCATAGCATTTAGTCTTTCAAATACAGAACCATTTTCAGGAAGAGTTTGTAACATATTCTGATCGATTATAATATTTGCATAAAATGGATTATTTTCCTTAAGAAAATTTAACCATACTAATACATTTGAATGTTTGACTTTAAAGTCATGGAATGTGGTACAATCTTGTCCAATTCGTCGAACAACTAAAGTATCAAGCATAGTAGGATCTCGAGGCAATTTAGTAATAAATTCTTGAACATCCTGCGGAAAATTAATCACGTGTCCTCTATACCCA